TTTTTTTTTTTTTTTTTTTTGAAAGAAGCTGAGTGCATGACTACACCTGAGCTAAGCCACACGTACTTTGTGTCAAAACGTCTGAGATAAAAGGGGGAGAGGCATTACCTTGCGCGCGGGAAATGAACGACCGTACGCGTCCCTTTTCTCAGATAAAAGTGTAGAATCTTCGATGTACGTGACACGAGAAAATAATACCTCTTTCTGGCGATACTCGTGCGAAGCTTAAGAAATCATGAACGTTATGTTCTCTCACGAGAAAAACAAGAGAAACACAAAGGTAGTAGAAGACTGTAAAACGGATTCCTGAATCATAAATTACTATTACGCTGTGACAAATTGGAAGTAGCACTCGACTGATATGACTTTCGACGGATAATTGTAATATTATACACGACATGAAGTATTCCAAAAATTAAATAACTCGATTCGAATATGTTACAAAGATTACAAATTCTCCCACAACCCAACAGTGTTGAATCAATAAAAAAGAATGCTCGTGCGTGTACAGAAAATTTGAAAACTATAAAATTGCACAGAATGGCGCATGAAGCAAATCTCTACTCAGACTCAATGTCTGAGTAGTAACATTCATAAGTAGTCCACAATCTACTCAAAATGAAAGTAATTGTCCAATCTTAATTTTAACTAAAATTTTAAAATGGCGAATTAAACTAATTGTAGATCATTAGAGTAAATAACTAATTAAAAGTTTTTCACGAAAAGAGTTTGCATGGGAAAATAAATCACTGTGTCGTGGGCGTATATTTCGAAAAAAATGTCGTCTTAAACCGTCTATTCTTGTTCGAGGCAGACAACCTATACGACACTAAGGGCAGTCGTCTAAGGGTTCTCCAGCCTTCTTTGGTCTACCGACTATGTGCTCGTACCTCGATGCATATGTATGCCTCTACATAACGCATATATTCGTAACAGAGACCTGTTCGACCGGAAACGACGTACATACACTAGGGAGAACATCGATATACAAGTGACGAAGGAAAGGTGGATACACACATTCGTATGGAGTCAGTCACGTCGAAAGACGAGATTAGGGACCCTTCACGACGTAACCAGAGATGAAACCGCCGCGGCGAGGGACTCTAATTTCGCTGTGGAGTTCCTTACGAATCTTGAAAATCCTTTCATGTCGTCGGCAAAGGCACAAATCGGCGGAGAACTTTTCGGAGGGGAGATTTTATCGCTGGCGGTGCCGCCTCGTTAACTTCTATCGACATTTCCGGCTTCCATCTGACTTCCGTTCTTCGCCAGTTCTATCGAGCTGTTTATTCGTTACACTGGTCGGAAGAAACGATATCACAGTAACAGCTGATGATAACAATTCGAGATTGTACGCGGTGATAAAAATCTGTTTCCATCGTTCT